GAACCTCCAGACAGAAATCTCCCCAGATTGAACCCTAGTTCCCAAGCCAGCCAGCCACAACACTGTGAATTCCTCAGGGAGGTGCCAGCCTCATCTTCTTGAACTTCCCACTATATCTGTCAGGTTCAGCCCAAAGAACTCCAAGAGACAATGCAAATACAGTTCTGTTGTGTTTATTAGCTTGAACCTCCAGACAGAAATCTCCCCAGATTGAACCCTAGTTCCCAAGCCAGCCAGCCACAACACTGTGAATTCCTCAGGGAGGTGCCAGCCTCATCTTCTTGAACTTCCCACGCTCCTGTTGGGGGCTAAGAACGCGCTTATCTCCCTGAGCCTGGCCTTCATAAGTCCATTCCGTCACAATATCTTTGCTTTTACATCTGTTTCTGCCCCCCCTTTTTTAATAGTAATAATTTTTAATTTTAAAAAAATGTGAATAGAGTTAAGCAAAACAAAATATGAAGTCTTGATAAATCAAGCTGACAAACTAAAGAGAAAGAAAAAATAAAAATATATATTTTTAAATTGTTCTCCATTACCACAATGCAGGTATAATAATCACATCAGTATATTATTACAACTTAATATTTAAAGAACAAGTTTAACCTTCACCACAATGAATCATATTGTTAGTCTTTCCTCTTGACCTATAAGAAATCTACTTGACATTTGAAATTTACATAACTAAATTTACATAATTTTTAAAAAATACATGATTTACTGAGCCGGACTTTGATATCTGGTATGAAAATGTCTTTTAATGAACACATGATTATCTTTTTGCCAACTGTTTAAGGACAACAGATCCAAAGCTCTTCATAAATAGGCAAATTCTGGATTTTGACAATATAATTTAGCAACACATCGACATCTTTAAATATTAGCTGACTCCGAAGAGCCTTGTTCACCGTAATAAAAACATGCAATCAATAAGAAGTTACCTATGGACATAACCAAAGCACGTGTACTAAACTGCTTTCAGATTTATTGCATCTCCAATATAAGAACAACAATCTTAAAAATACCACTGAGAAGTCTCATAAGCTAAAATATTTTTTATTGATTTAACCTTATTTTAACATCATAAGAAACATTGGATCCAGAACTACTGATCTTGTGATACCAGAAATATCATTTTCCTGGGCGTCATGAACTGCAGAAGAGAGGCATTGGGAGACAAGACATCTATTTGCTGGTTCCCCATCCCACCCCATCCTATTCCACTTTTCAGAATACAGCTGTGGGGAGAACCCAGATCTGAAAGCTGAGTTGCAAGTGGCAAGGGAACTGATTTGCACATAATGCTAGGACTGAATTTGATCAAGCCATAGAGGCTTAATTGTTACATGATGCTAGGCCATACCAGGTGGCTTCTCACATCACATTAAACCAGAAGCAGCCATACTTGACTCAATGTGAAATGTGAACCATATTTGTATGTGAGGTATCAAGATGAGATAGAGAAATCCTCTTCTGGAGGGTTTCTCTCACCAGTTTCCCTGACAAAGATCTGCCAAGTCTCCTCTAATACACAGTTTCCTCATATAATGAAGGTGCTTCTGGGTGTAGTTCTCCTATGTTATCAGGCAAAAGACATTGTAGATCTTGCCTGTTTTTCCTTCCTTAACAATTTCCTGTGGTATGAAGGGAGGAAAATAATGAAGAAATAATGTAAAAAACATGGCAGGATGTCAAATGAGAGGCATCATCAATTGGAAGGTCCTATAAAATTCTGTGACTGAGGAAGGACAATTCCTCAGCAAAAGCCTGTCTGAAAATACCCTGATTTGTAGCTGCTGAGCCATGTTTTAGAAATTAGTTATCTAGAGAGCATTTAAATTAAGGTCTTAATTTAATTGAGTAATTCATTGTGCATGTTTTTAATAACAAATGAGGCAACTCTTCCCTTCTCAAGCATATGAGCTTTGTTGCGTTTCTCGTGGGTAATAACTAATTCCTTTAGTTAGGCTTCTTAAATTCCTGATCTTTTTTTTTTTTTGGAAGCTAATGGCAGATTCACCGTGCATTATAAGCTACTCTAATAGCTTTTTCAGAGAGGCTAAATGGATGCCTGCATACAGGATGACCCCTAAACCTTCTCTATTGTTTATTTCAGATTTGGAATTATATTTTTGCCCCCGAATTTAAGCTTTTAGGGAGCTTTATGAATCCAGCTGCAATGGTTATTGGTAGCTTTTATAGGCCCCTGCAAACCAACAGACCCATATGTCGCATGGCGTATGTCGATACCGAATCTCTCACAGTCACGCAACCGTTCTTGAGGTGTGCTTGTAAACCCAATAGTAAATGTACCACCTGTACTCATAGACCTGCATTAGTGGCTTGCTTTCAGCTGCCTTACAAAGCACTCTTGGCAATAAATCTGTATATGTACTTGAAAATATTTTTAGCAATATTTGAAAAGACAGAAAAGACCATTTCCTGTTCTCTTATCACTTCCCCATAGACCAGGCATGTAGTGGAAAAAGAAAGTAAATGGAAGGAATGAACAACCATAATTACAAAAAAAGGGGGGGGGGAATCAGAATATTCTGTCCTTATTTATTCTGAAATTCCTTTCTATTTTGTAACAATGGAGCTTTTAACTTTAAAAAAGAAGAACAGCTTTAACAGATTTGGCATTTTTTCCACCTATTGAGTCCTTCCCAAGGACCTGGAATAGGCAGATGCTGTTTGATGGTGTTAAAGGTATTGTCGCAGGATAAAGCCACCTTTTGCAATTGACCGATGGTGATTTCATCAATGCTGATGGTCTTCAAGTGGTGCTCCAGATGTTTTGGGATTGCACCCAAGGCACCT